TTACTCGTCGAATGGCAGCTTGGCGCTTCGAGTCCTGCGAAACGTTACGATCCCCGTTGACGTATGTTCGGCGAGCGCTTTACGCATACCACGTGAACTCGTGTAAAATCGTGTTAACGTTACCGCGCTGTCCGCTCGTTACAATCGCACACATATCGCGTGCTATTCGCATAGTCCCGAACAACAGTACGCAAGCGGATTTACGGCACGAGCGAAAATTTCGATAATACGGAATCTCGAGGAGTCTGCGTCACCGATAATCGTGACATAACGTCCTGCGTTACGGTACGTCAATGAGCAATTATCAAAGGCCCGTCCAAGGGTTCAGCCGCGAAATCAGGCTCCGAATGGCTCCGAATGCAGCAGAGACCAAGGAGCCACTAAATAACATAGGGAGGTAGCAGGCGGACTATAGCACGGTAGCGAGAGCGACACTTCAGCGGCGTCGAGAAAAAGTGTTGCGCAGTTCTTTCGCGAGACTCCGAGAGTCAGGCTCGCGCTTACTTGTCCCCCGCGGAGCACGATCAAAAGGGGGCGGGAAAGGTTCTCCGAGGGGTGGTAGGAGGGGGGGAGGAGAGAGGCTATAGATCGTTTCAGCGAAGAGGAGCCGGGTAGCGGGGGATGATGCTAAAGAGGAGAAGCCGACGGGGCGGCGGGGAGGGGGGATCCCGATTCAAGGGGAAAAGCCGTATTGCCGCCACTGTACAACCGCTATTTTTCTCCCGCCTCGGCTACACCCGACATATATGATATTTTTGTCGAGCATATTACGGCCGGTACACACCCTCCGCGAGAGGGCATACTGGAGAATAAAGAAGGGGTGGAAGAGCGAATAAATCCTCTACCCCTACCAGACTTCTTTCACCCCTCCAAAGTGTGGAAGGGGGGGCAGGTTTTTTCCCCTCTGTGGGCGCGGACAATAATCGCCCCGCCCCATCCTCCTATTTCGACCAATCCGTCCCCCCGCTACGTCTCCGCCGCCAACCACTAGTTGTCTCACTCTCTTTCTACCATTTGCCCAAATCTCGCTCTCTCGCTCGCTCTCACTCTCACCAACTACCCTGGTCTCACCCCACCATCAGCCGATACAGCAACTTGGCGCTCTTGCTCCCGTGGCGGCCGGAACACATCGTGAGACACTGGGGAACGAACACAACGCGCGCGCGAAACACACTGAGATGTGAAACATTAGTGTACCGTTTGTTAACACCGGCCTCTACACACAGCCGCACACGCCTGGTGACTCCTTCTCTTCGTCCCAGCTGACGACGACTACGACGACGTCGCCAACGTCGCCGACGACGATGAGAGAAACTATCTACCCACCTACTTACCAACCTACCTACCTACCTAACCTATGTACCAGAGCTTCTACGGGCCCTGGCTTTCCGAGAATGCGATACTGAATTTGTACAGCGTTCGAAGACCTCTTGGATTTACCTCCGGTAGCGGTTTATACAGGGCGGCCGATGTAGCAAATCGAAACGGCTCCCGGCGCATACCGAGTATGACTCGACTTCGGGAAATATCCTTTTACACAACATACATCTTCGCTAATGGACGATACGCGGTAGTGAACTCGATTTGTAGAAAAGAAAAACGTGCCTCGTTACTTCCGACGGACATGTAACTACGAGACCGTTGAAGAACGGGTATAAAGAGGTTACAACTTACACGATACTAAAAGCATTCGGAATTAATACTTCCATTTCCGATTTAGACAACTCGTGCAGAATTTCCTTACCATCCTGTCCACGGTTTCAGTATGATTTCCCAGTTGACTGTACGAGGAATAGGAGTTTACATTGTCCAGCTTACTAGTTCCTGGAAATACATGGAACATGTCATTTGTCATGTGGATTTTAGAATTCAGTCTCACGAGTAACCCCCAAGATTATTTTTCACTAGTTTTATATATTGATATCACAGCCGAACCTTAATTATGCTTTGACATTTCTTGATTAACCTCCGTAGAAAGACAGAGGACGCGATACGGATGCAAAGGAATAATCTCGGGAGCTGCGCAATCCTTGTGCCGTAGCTGTGTAACGGATGGCGGTTAGTGGCGACTAGCCATAGGAATACACGGGAAAGATCGAGGGCGAGAAAAGTCCCGCAGGTGGCAGCACAGGTCGACTGGCAATAATGCCACTACACTAGGACAGTGCCAGTACCAACCTAGAAAAGTGGGGATAAGCTTGAGAACGGTGGGGGTGGCATTATCCCCACTCAATGGGCCCACCTACTTGCTGGCTTCGCGAGGGGAATTAGGGGAGGGAGCCACTAGTGACTCTGTGTGAGACTCTTGTTCCAGTGTGAATACGCGTGTGACAGGGCTTCGACAGGTTCCGAGTGAGACGTTTCTAATATTCGAAAGAGCAACGAGGAAAGAACTTCCACCTAGCCGAAAAGGTTCGCCTTGCACTCGGCAGAGTGCGCCAATGCCCGGCCAACGAGATCGGCCCGTCCGCGCATGCGTTACCAACGGCTTTAATTGCTTGATCCAGTTTAATGCTTCGTCCGACTGTTACGCACCACGCTTGTTACGGAACGGCCTAATTTCTATTCCTTCATCTATACTCCACATTGGCTTATCTACTGTTTCGTCGTTTATGCTGATGCAATTTTATTCTCCTCGTAATGAATCACTGAGACACGTGCATACAAATATTGCATTTGTCATTCGACCAATAGAACTCTCGGACAGTGACATATACAATTGGGTATGTAAAATCTTATGAATTTCAACCTGTCTCAACGACCTCCGTCTCGGAAGCTTCGTAAACTCAATTTGACAATCTAGATAGCATTTTCGCGTAGTGCCAGAGTAAATAGGTTAGATTCTGTTGTACATACATTCGCAACGTATCAATCTCCCCCGTTTTATGGCACTGTTGCCATATTTATTGTTTCAATTAACAATGTAAAAATCATTCGAGAAAATTGATTGTATCCAAACAGTAAATTTACCCTCCGTCCCCTGTATTATACATGTATATACACCAAAATATTTCAGCAGGGTAGCAGTTACAAGCACGGCATAATACCGATACAGAATTTCGGTAATATTCAGCGTCTGCTTCGCGCTGAAATCTTGGTTATGAACTTTTGACAAGACGCCACCCCTTCCCTGTCCTCCATAACATCTTGCTACACCACCCCCTATAGCCTAGCACCCGCTCATAAATCAAGACGATGGGCGATGCCGATGTAGCCGCCTTGGGGGTGGCTTTGCCGTTAGGTGCGACGAGGTGAGCTGTATTACTTATGGAGTAAAGTGGAACGGGGGTGGGTAAACTTGAGTGATTAATCTCGCCAGATTGATAGCGTTGCTCGACCCCCCCGGCCACCCCCTTTGGAAACTTCCATAAATTACGTTATAAGGAGTCTACGTGGTAATTAATACACTCGACGCTCGATCTCATTGTCCCAGGGGTACCAACAGCTATAACCAATCTATATCGTATTATATATACAGACTGATAAGCGTATCAAACTATGACGCAATTCACGGTATTGGTATCGATCGAACGCCAATCAATATCCCATGGGATATTTTGCAACGGCTACGAGTCCTCATCCCCTTGTGGCGTTATCAAAATTATCAAAACAGTCAGAGTGCTCGAATGCGATCTAACACGAAATCATCCGACTGTTATTATCATCAAAGAACTCGAGCCGCTCACATGCGGACCCAGTCGATGATTACCAAATTGAGTATCTACAACATTTTATCTTACGATCTATAATCGTATGTGGAATCGTAAGTACGATTAAGTTCGGTTTACCCGGAAATAACGTATTGCTCTGAAATACGTAGAAAATATTGATATTTTATTTTCAAAAAATATTTTTCCTAATGTATCAATGAAATACGGTATTTTGAAAATATACAATTTTTTTTTCTTACATTATTTCAGCAATCGACAATTAATGGCTGTATGCTTGAACTAGCATCAAACGGGGATCCCTCGAATGGATCTCAGAGCGGAATTGCGGCGACATGAAAGATTTTACCGGCAACCTAGATCCTTCAGGCAAAAGGTATTCATTGACGTGGTTCGACAAGATGATCTCGGTATAGGACAGTTAAAAAAATCCACATATATATATATATATACATACGACCCTCTGCCAGTGTAGACGTTGAGTCTAAAAAGGGAAGCGAAGAAGAGAGCCGATGCCGCCGTTCATTAATTAAGCGAAGCGTGAGATTTCTAGCCTCCTTCCATTTCATCCCCCGCTCCCTGCCATCCCTTTGTCGAGCCGCTCAACCCTTACGATCTTAGATGCCGCCAAGATCTACGAGACCCAAGGAGGACGAGGAGTCTCGTTCGTTGAAAAGTAGAGCGATACGTAAATCTGAAACTTGGTGGGCGGGGGCAGGGGGGAGGGGGGCAAATAAAAGGCCCGAAAGGAACTACCAGAATTCTAAAATGCCCGCAGGCTCCTTAGCCAGGACCAATGAATTTATCTCGGATCCTTCGGAGGAGAATGGACCAACAAAATTTCTCTGCGCCACCGTCACTTGGCTCTTCTCAATAATAATAACAACAACGGCTGCTCGTCTCACGTCCCGTCATCTTCTTCGTACCAATTCCCCAGCTGCCATTCGTCACTTATGACGATTCTCCTTGAGATTCGTGAAATTTGACGAACAATTGGTTCACCTTGTATATACGTCGTAACGCTTATGACGAATTGAGGTTATATTCGATTTTGGGGTGAAACTCGAGGACGATCAGCATCCTGACGGATCGAGTAAACTGACGATATTTCCTGCTGAATTTGCTGATTTGTGTTCGTATTTTTTTTTTTGTTTTTTTTTTGTTTTTTTCTTTCAAGATATCTTTATCATCATTTACTCACCATTAACGCTCAAGTACGTCGTTCCATTTCGTTGTCTAGTAGTTACGTGCACTTTAATGTACACTGATAGTAACTATAGGTTACTTTTGTAAGTGAAGTCGGCAATGTGTCATTAGCGTTTTGCATTACAAGTTAATTGCCGGGTTAAAAAAAGTTCTTTTGTAATTGCACCTTTGCCGATATAGTTCGGTAAGTGCGAAACTTAAGTTCTGGCTATGATTATAATAAACGTATCCCCCCTTGAGGCTTGATTACTTGTCAAGGATAAATTTCAAAACATACGTAACCCCTTCATGCAATTGCACGTCGAACGGTATAATTAACGTGACCGATCAGCGCGGAATATCGTAAGTGTAATTGGTGGTAACGAAATGGCTGTAATTGTCAAAAATAATCGTATCCTTATCCCATGTACATTTTCCATGGGCGTTATCTGACGTTTGAAAAAAAAATGTTTGCAAATGTTCTTAGAACGCCCTGCAGCCGTTTGGACACGTCGTTAAGCGCAATTTGTCTTGTAGAAATAAAATTGTTGTTTTTAACTATCCCGTCTGATCCGCTGGGCCATTACCGTTTTAATGTATTTCCCAATGTTTGTCGCAATTTCACCTGTAAATTACATAACAGCTGCGTTACGTGTAAAAATTACAAATACGAACGGTATCGCACTGGTGTATAACCCTGGTAAAGAAATACATAAAAAATGGTCTATTAGCGCGAGATGCAACAAAATCAAAGCCGATACAAAGTGCATCAAGCTGCATCAAAGTGCATGTATATGCATTATCAATTATAACAGGATGCATAATCACAGAGCTAAACATTGTAGCTGTATAATTATTAAAAGCTGATTACCGATAATTACACTCCGTCGCACGGATACGGGATTACTTCCCGGTGCGAAAACCGTAACGTGATGTTTTACATAGAAAAAAAAAAATAAAAAAATTCTCCATACTCGATCATCCCGAATACCAGTCCTACATACAGAACCATAGTAATGTACCAAATAGACAAGCTTATCTCCCGGAGGAAGACGATGGCGGTCGTGGTACTATATATATATATACATACATCGAGCCTACGGATTCAGTTGGGCCCCAAGATGAAGAGGATGGCCGCTGTGATTACCAAGCGGGGTCCAGCTCGGCTCCCTCGTTCCTCAAGTCTTGTACGAAAGACACGACACAGTCCGCGGGCCGTTCTCCTGAGTTTTTCTCACCTGGTGCATCCAGGGCTGGCCACCAATCGTCCAGTCAGGCTCTGCCGCGGTCGGGCCTACGACCAATCCCTGCTGATGATCCTTGGTCCAGAGCACAACCTCCTTTCTCTCTGCAACCTCATTAGTACCTCCTCCCGCGATCTTATTACTATGTATAAAACGTGGCCGTGGTACCGCCTCTTTCTGATACCTAGTCATGTTTCATTATTTCCATGGAATCATTAAATGTGTCGAGTCATCCCCACCGACCCACCACCACACACCCAGGTACAGCCTCCCCTCCCGGTCCACCGATCCGATCCTCTCTCTCCTCTTCCATCGGAGCGGACCCGTCGCTCCGTCTCTCGCTCCTGTATTCTCCTATCAATCTCTCTCTCTCTCTCTCTCTCTCTCTCTCTCTCTCTCTCTCTCTCTCTCTCTCTTCTCTCTCTCTCTCCTCTCTCTAGGTCCTCCCTTCGATACTCACGCCCTCCCAGCGACTCGCTGGAGATTAAACTCTCCGTCCCTCCTTTGTTTATCCTCCCCTCTCTCTCTTCGCTCCCATTCCCGTCCTACTCTCGTGCTATCGTTCCCTCTTGCCGTGGGTTTGTTGATCCTCTTTTATTTTTCCTCTCTCTCCCTCTCGGACCCTCGCCACTGCCACCCTGGCACTCTCTCGCTCTTTATTTCCCACTCTTCCTCCTTTTAATTCGACGGGCAATACGGTGCTGCCATCTTCCACTTGGCGCGAGCGCCGCGAACTACATTTTTTTGTACGGTACGTTGATAGTTTGACAGAGTGACGTGCAGAGGGGGCGGGGGGGGGCGGTGGTGTTGATAAAATATTAATTCAAAATTATTGAAAATTTTTTAGGCTTCTATTTCGAATACGTCACGCAGATTACTTTAGCTGTGCAATTATTGAAATCTCAGGGAAATTTGTGGAACGGTATCGCTAATGAATTTTCCCATGGAAATTCCACGGGTGCCAAAGTGCCGGATGAATCTCGAGCGTATACCCGCCGTTTGGAACGAAGCCACGAAATTACGTCCGAAAATTGGCAAATTTAATCCAACGGGTGGATCCACATTTTTCGATCGATTCTCTCACGCGTATTAACGTACGTCACGTAAAAAGTATAATCGATCCCGCGCTCATCCGGGAAGCCGAAGCGATCTTCGTGAATAAATAAAAAGTTAGCCAATTATTACCAGGTTACCCTGAGGCCCCGTACAACCCGAAGTTAATCTTCTCGAAGAAGCGCATTCACGAGGTCCAGAAAATCTACCCCCGGCGATCTTTGGATCTCGCGTTACCAGCCTAACCCAACCTAACCCAACCCGCATCCACGTACGCGCGTACTCGCGTCCTACCCCGATCGCACCTTCGTTACGATCCAACTACCATGAGGATTTATAGACACGAAGGAGCAGCCTGCAAGCTCAGGATCGTTTACGTTAGCGGCGCAATAATTATTCCGATGTAGATAGGAGCGCGCAGCGCGTAACTCGAGCGTTAATGCGCTGCCGTTCAAGATTCCCTATGGGTTAGTCAGTGCAGCCAGCAGTCCGGAGCCGAAAGACAGATCGCGACTCCGATTGGCTCATATAAGCCGGCTCCGAAAGGTATTCATGCTGGTCACTGGTAATAACGATAAATTGCAGGGGCGTAAACCGATCCATGTGGATTCGCCTTTACGGTCTCTGCGAGCCACGTGGAACCTTTTCCACTCGACGAAATCCACTTGAGCCGCCAAAGATACGAAGGCCGATGTTTATCTTAAACTTGGAGCATCGGTGCTTCGCGATAGTTTTTCATGAAAACTACCCTTCACCTTTTCCCCCATCCGTACCGGCACCCCTACCGGTTCAGGAATCCATATGACTTTGCGTACCAGGAAATGTCTCTTTCTTCGAAACCAGCCTGTATACCCGTCCTGCTACTTACTCTTTCCCGTCGTCCCTTGAAAACTCCCACTAAACTCTCGCTGTGCTACGCCACGCGATTTCACGTTCGTCTCCTCGAAAAGGAGTAGCTACAGTTTGTACAAGTAAGAAACTTTTGTAACGCCCTGTTCGTGCGGATGCTACTTCGCTAATGTATATGTATGTATAGAGAGGGGCTGGGGGGCTGGGGGTTGGCTCTACCGTATAAGGGTGGCTCTCAGTCCTTTCGAAGGGTGGAAGAACCTGGCGTTTTAACCAGCCGTGCTGGCTGCTTCCGAAAATCTTCCGAGTTTTACTCCCTCTCCCCTTTTACTCGTAAAGGACTTGTATTGTTTATCCCAGCAAGTTTCAAGTCCTCCTGCCCGAGCGCTGTGCGCCGCGTTAGTTTAATATGCGCAAAGTGTAAAAGTTTCTTTACGAGCTCGTACCGTCGTCCCGCCGTCCCGTCTCGCGCAGTAAACTTAAATAACAAAGTTGCCTCTTTCCGCGGTTCCGGCTACAGTCGAACGAACTTCCGGTCCGAGAATGCTCGTCGATGATCCTTCGTCCGTAAGAGGAAACTTCGTACTACGTCCAGAGACTGCGCTACGAGCTACCATAGAAAACACGAAGCGTCGAAAGTGGCGGGAAATTCAAATTTTTCAAATTTTACCATTTTTCCTGTATATCGCACAGAGAGGGAATTAGAGTTTACAATTTTTTTTTATTATCGAAGAACGGGGCCTCGTATGTTTTTAGGGCCCAAGATGCGTCAGGGACTCCGTTACGTATAGCTATCCGTATGGTTATGGCGTATGCCATACGTGTATAATGCAGGTCCGTTCGGTTAATGTGCAGCGCAGAACAGCGGCGTGTTCTGCATCTCGCGGGCATGTTTTGGCCGGCTTATGAATTTATTGGGGGCCATTCATTAGACATTAGGGACAGCCGTGTGCGCGTAGGAGTTGAGAAAAAGGATAGCAGCTCTCCCTGCGGGACCTCGTTCCTTTACCGACGTACGTAGATACCTAACTACGTATCTTCGTACGTTAAAGGGTGGATCGTCGGCTGCCTCTTGCTACAAAACATAGTTTCACCCGGTACATTAACCCGGGTGCATATCTGCCCGAGAACTCGGATGCATCCGCCTTTTTCACTAGGACTCGTATCCAGCTACCATTTCACCTGTTATCCTCCACTGCATCCCGCCATGTACCTACTACGACTCAGCCCTTTATTAAACTCCGTTGTTATTCTCTGGAGAGACGAGTCGGGTTAAACGTGCAATTTCGACAATTTTACATTTCCAACTTTCCTTCCCTTATTAAACCCA